TAGATAGATAGATAGATAGATAGATAGATAGATTTGCCATTTCAACACACTAGAAGCTATTTGTATGTTTACTGCCTTGGTCCATCATTCATTTATTTTACACAGTAATGTCTAATTTCACTGTTAAGCAAATTTCAGTTCCTGCTTTATTTTGCTTGATACTACATTGGCAAAAAGTGCAACTAAGCCATGCAAAATATTTCGGCAGTACTGAAGAAGAAATTTTCCATTTACTTTAAAATCTTTGTCATAATTCTACCTTTTAATATTAATTTTGGGAGGGCCTGGCTTAGAGCTCACTTTGGTGGCTTTTTTATGCTATCTTCCATATATAGGTTTTAGAGTGATAGTGCTAATGCTGATGGTGTATACATTTCCAGAAACTTTGGCTGTGACTTGAGTAAACCAAATAGCACATTAAACAGTACAGCATATCAGCTTGAAGAAAGTTTTCTAAAGGATGTATTTATCAGGGGCAGAAAGGACATTGGAACACAAGATGAACCTTGCTGGATGAGAATAAAGAATTACCTAGTACTGTATTTCTTGATTCCCAGCCCAGCAGGGTTGGGTCACTGGTTCTACAGCTTCTTTTGGACTTGGAAGCAATAACCATGCCAATATGAGTACTTAAGGTCTTATTCCAAGGCAATATAAGTAAATAACATAATCACACAATATGAGACAATTATCAGAGAATGTATAGGAATACTGAACAATATAACATAACTCAAGACAGAAATCAATTAATCCAGCACCTGTGATTTTTAGCCTGGCACATATTTACTCATTGTCAAGAGACTTAAGCATGCTTCAGTCATGTAGAATTTACAAGTAACATCAGACCTGAGTCCATATGCAAAATGCTGAAAACAAAACTCAGTTCTGGCTACGTTCAAAGGAGCAGCACAAACTTGTAATGTTGCATTAGCCCAAGGCTGGTGACTAGCTGCTTGGAGAATCTGAAGGCAAAGGAAATGTTTAAAGCCCAAAGTAATGTTAATTTAGCCACTCCAAGAGAGCTCTGATAGGCAGAGAGTTAATGAAGCATTAAATTGATTGGTTGAATAGGTTATATTGAATATGCCAGTGCCAGAGAGTCCATCACACAACTCAGCCATCACCAGCATTCTCTCTCTATAGGAATGAAGGAAGTTTCAGCACTGTACATTGTCTGTAACAGCCCCCCAAACCACTGAATGTGCAAAGCACTACGAAGCTACTTGATTTGATTTGCTGCTTTGAAACATGCCTGGGCTATGTTTAGAGAATCAAGATGATTCAGTTGAAGCTTTCTTGAATCAAAGCACTGTTTTATACTACCCTAATAATTTATCATAAATATTTTACTGTTTGAGAATTATTTGTTCTGTATCAGTTTAAAGCAAATACTGCAGGTGGAGTCTCTTTTATGTACTTGCGAGTGTAGCTGATTATTTAAAATGATTTTGATGCCTGAAGTGCTATGCTGCTTTTTAAAATTAGAAGCTTGTCTCTTTGCAGAACAGTAGAACTCAATGAACTTTGCATGCAGTAGTTACATTTCTGCTGCAATTTACATCATTAATGTAATTACATCATTATGCAGATGACATCAGTTGCATCAATTTGTACTATCTGCATTATGATATCACTCGAATGACATAGATTGATGAAAACTTACATGACAATATTGCCACATAAATGATGTCAATCCCCACAATGCATGATTTTGATTCAATGGGCATGTGTAAGTAACAGACATCTCCTCTCCATTTAGTCCACTAAAATGATATTTTATTCTATAAACCTCAGCAGCAAAGACATCAAAGAAAGTTGCCACTTCATTTGTGGTCCTCATTTATGAACACATATAACTTCCATGATTAATGTCACTTAAACTCAGGGAATGTAATCTATTCTCAAACAAATTACTGAAAGAATCTTTCTTTCTTTCTTTCTTTCTTTCTTTCTTTCTTTCTTTCTTTCTTTCTTTCTTTCTTTCTTTCTTTCTTTCTTTCCTGTAGTTCCAAAATCCAAATGCTTTCTCACCACCTTTCCGCTTTGGAACAGTTCCCAATGGCAGTACGGAGAGGAATATTCGCAACAATTATGAACTGATGCATGCCTATATGGTGAAGTTCAACCAAAGATCGGTGCAAGATGCTTTATCATCACTGAAGACAGGGTGAGACTGCCACCTTCCAAGTTTAGCATAAAGAATAATGTTGCCTATATAAGTCTGCTTCTGCAGATATCTCACTTCTTCATAATATTCATTCTACCAAAATATTGCACAGATTTCATTTCACAGCATTGTAGAGGAAGTATGAAAAAAGTTTGATAAATAAATATTAATATCCATTTAAGTGAAAAGCAGTCAGGAGATCAGTGATATGAAACAGTAGATGCACAGTGGAATGAAGACAAAACCAGGAAGTACTAAGGAATTGGGCAGGCATACTTAATGGTATTGATACTGGGCAAACTGTTCTTTGCACCCATTGAAAGAACAACACACTGTATAAATTAGAACAAATTAATATTTTAGCCATAACACCACATTGTTGTTAGGATGTGAGATCCAGTTCACACACATGAACAAAAAAATATACCCTCCTCATGTACATGTATGCACATGCACAAATCCCAGGAGGAGAGGGGAGGATGCAGAGAAATGGCACCCTCCAACAATCTGTCAAATAACTCATTGGCAGGCTACCAGAAGCACCATTCCCCAGTCTGATAGCACTCCACAGCAGTCCACCAAAGAGCTCTTTGATAAACTGCAAGAGGAAGGGGCTGGGAGGAAATGAAAAGCAAAAGCAGGGACCCATAACAAGTTGTATGGCCCAGTGGAGAGTTCTATGTGGTTCCTAGCCATGGGTTGCCTATGGGATAAAAATGAAAATCCTTATGGAAATATGGGAATGATAAGAATAAAATATGAAGTGAACCAGTCAAATGTAGCAATAACTTGTCAAAATATAGTTAGTGTTAAGTAATGCCATGTCAAACAGTTATTTCCTCTTTAATCTGTCCCATTCATGAAATTTGGGAGCACATAAAAGCAAACTTAATGATAATAGTGTGAGACCCACCTTTCCAAGAAGAATGACCACCAAATGAGGAAGAGAGAAGTTTGTGCCACCACTAGTGCAAATCGGGGTTCTTTTAAAATAAGAGGAGGAAAAAGAAAGAGAAGTGGGAAAAGATTAAGGAGTTCTCTTCCTTCCTGTTCACTGCATATTTTTTGAGAAATGAATTTACTCTCTGGGAAAGTACCAGAAAAAATCCCTGTTTTCCAGGGATATAAGACTCTCCCAAATATAAATAGAATGATTTGGTTCATCTTTGTTGTGAACACAGTTTTGATGACAGAATTAGGAAAGCTGGCTCTGTCTGTAAATATTCAGTACCAATTCCATCCTCATGATGAGATTACTTGGGCAATATAAAGCTTAAATTTCTGCCCTTATATTGAGATATAACATGATATCCAACCACTTGTCATATTTAAAGATGCTCATGGGACTCTTCTCAAGAGCAGGGGTCCTGGCCAAATCTAATTTGAGTAATTACATTTTGCTTAACACTATCTCTCCAGCTGTTTGATTGGGAAATGGTATGCTTTACTGCTTTAATCACTGTGTACTTTTCCTAGGCATGTTGCTGAATTATTGCTACATGGTTTTCATAGTTCAGGAAGGGAATGTTATAGTGAATGAAATTGCTTTCATGCGTGGGTTATGGAGAGAGTGGAAGGTATTTTCGTGCTTGGGTTCTGAAGTTATCTTTAAAGATTGAAAGATGCTGGAAACGTACATTGGTTCTATGACTACTCTTAATTTTACTCAAATTTTAGTTTTGCATAAATATTTGTATTACCTGGGGTTCATTCTCTCTCTCTCTCTCTCTCTCTCTCTCATCTGAGGTCACACTT